AGCGCCAGGTGGATTTGTGTGAAAAGGCCAGCGCCGGTTGGAAGTGTCGGCGCTAGGTGAGTTCGAGAAGAGGCCAGCGCCAGTTGGAAGAGCCAGCACCGGGTGGATTTGTGTGAAGAGGCCAGCACCGGTCAGAAGAGCCAGCACCAGGTGGATTTGTGTGCAGCACCGGCTGTGTCTTTGGCATGCATGAGTTGTGTATGCCACTTGTGATATGCATGCTAATTGAATGCCACATGTCCAGATTTTACAGTCTTTTGGTGACACTTGGCCAGCCACCTCAACCCAAGAGTACTTAAGCCTCCTTCCTCACCCGTGCCACTCATTCTTACTTCATTTCTCTTTCTTTAAGATACAAGGTGGGAAGAAGTGACTGTTGGTGGGCAGCCACTGTTGGGTGGGTGAGAGCTGTGAATAGAGGAGTGAAGAAGATATCATTATTTGGATCCATCACTGCTGTATGATAGTCGCAGGTATGCATGGAATTTATGCATGTAAAATGAGAATGAAAGTGTATGTGATGTAAGAAAATCTTTACGCCTTTTTATTTAGAAATTGGGGTTCTTGTCCTCTGATAATGGTGAATGTCAAGAATGAATGCATGATTCTAAGATTACGTAAGAAATGCATGCTATGTATGATTATGTGTGTGTTAACATTGTGAGATAAATGGTTGTTATCATGTGCCTCACCATGAAATGAAGATCATGGAATGTATGCTTGAGACATGTTGTATGCCACTGTGAAATTCCAGAAGTTTGCATGTTCTTATAAGAGGCTCTATAACAGTCAAATGTAGTTCGATTGACCTCAAACTACCCCCATTGGAAACATATACAAGTCTAGTAAAATGTTTGTTTTTACCCATTTCTGAAATTATTTACAAAAATGAAGATATGTTTCAAAATGGGAAGGTATATCATTGTTGACTGTTTTCTTGGATTTTCATTTATACCACTGTGGTCACTGATTTTAGCTAGCCAAACGAAGTTCATTTTCGGCCAAACTACATCCATTTGAAAGACCTTTGAATTGGATAAAGTTTGCATGTGGAAACTATCTTGAAAAGCTTCCTAGATTGAAAGTTATACCTTGCTTTATGAAGGTATGTCACTGTGGGCAGTATTGATGAAAATCAGAACTATCACCTTGTTTGCCATGAATTTTTGAATCACCAAATGGAATCCAAATGCTTTCAAATTTAAATTTATAGAAATATATACGTCTTGGATTAAACTTTTATTTTGTACCCGTTACAAGTTGCCTTACGGTTTGAATGTTATAATGATTTGAAGCAGGGTACGTTGCTGTCCACTGTACACGGCAGGTGGCAGTTAGTTAACCCTCATTTCCTTGAACCTTTAAGAGGTCAAACAGAATCCTAATGTCTTTAAACCACTCCCAAGTGAGGGATAGGTGTTTGCTACGAAATTGATTTTGGAATCAACTTCAAACTCTAATGGTCCAAAAGTTAGGACCCCAATTGTGAGCACACATACGCATGCATGATAATGAAGTTATGTGTTGCTATGACATGGAAGCATGATCATGATGAATGCTCTATTGTGATATGAATTGCCTGATTTTAATGATGCTTATACTATATGTGAATAGATACCTACTGTGTGAATGGTTGTATCATAATGCTTATATTATATGTAAATGGATACCTACTGTGTGAATGATGGTATCATGATGCTTATGTTATATGTGAATGGATACCTACTGTGTGAATGATGGTATCATGATGCTTATGTTATATGCTACTGTGTGAATGATGGTGCAGGTAGCTGCGATTTTTCCTGACTCCCCATGATTGGACGGGACTCAGGATGTGAGTAGTTGGGTGGGTCGCGCCCCCCAGATCTATGATGGCACTACACATTGGATCACCTAATGGTAGTGTAATGCCCTCTTGGCAAAAGGGCGCAAGGAGAGGGTAGTGTCTTATAAGGCTTCTGCCTATCGAAAACTCCAAAGCGTGCTGGGGATGTGTGTGTGTGTGAGGGCCTTACGATGTAGGTCTTCCACTTGTCATGGTCTACCCTCCTGAGTGAGGGTAGAAGTCCCAAGTTCAGGATTGGTTTAGCTTGACCGTTGTGGCTTGTAGATAGATCTATTTGCTTGACTTATTTATGCTTTTTGCATGAGCTTCTAACTGTAGTTGTGATTTGCTGTCTATAATACTCTACTTTAAGAAAAGTTATTGTGACTTATGCATTATGTATATTGAACTACCTTTCTGTTAGAGTGTTGAGAAGTATGTTGAAGAACCTTATTTGATACATGGGTATATGTATGTATATGTGTGTTGCATATTTGTTATCACTATCATGCTAGTTGGAATGCAATGGTTTAGATCTGCTTACTGGGCTTTTAGCTCATTCCATCTTAATCCCATAACTGTAGAGTGAAGGGTGGTGGCAACTGCGCTAAAGGTGGGGGGCAATTCGAGGGCTTGAAGCCCTGAGCTAAGAAGTTTGAGAAGCCGTTTTCCGAAGACCTTCACAATTTGTTTTGGTGGTTTCAACTATATGATGTATACTTCATTTTGTGTATTTGGGCCAGTAGTGCCTTGAAAAAATTATAAAGACATTTTGATAATGAGTGAAATGGTCGTAGCTTTTGGATTGATACTTGTTGATGAATCGATATATTCTAGTTTTCTTTCGTGGTTTGCTCTTGATTCCGTATTTTTATGCGTTGAGCCCTCCCACCAGAGTGATGTTTGCAACCTCCGGTTGTGACCCCGCGCCCTATCGCAATCCGGCAGGGTCATGGGGAGGGGTCGTGACAGGCCATGTCAGAAGTTTGCTATGAAATTTATTTATTTATTATTTGACAATATTTTAATAATAATCACTTGTTCTTTCAATATATCTTTTTTACAGTGGAACCCACTATCCTATACCAGAGCAAGTTGTTCAGAGTGAAGGTGTTGACATAGGTGTAGAATATGAGTATGATTTAGAAATCGAACGCCATATCGATGACATCGATCCGATAGAAGGCTCCATCAGGATTGACCGTTACGAAGTTGTACTTTGATAGGGCCTGGATTTTGATGATGTACAAGCATATCGTAATCACCTTATTGACTATGCCATATGCACAAAACTTCATTTTGAGGTTGATAAAAAGTGAGGACAGATGTGTATGGGTAAGGTGTGTTGCAGATAGGTGTTCATGGTGAGTGCACTATTGGAGGGTTAATACAACAAACTTCTTCAGGGAGAAGAAGTTTATAAACATGGACTCATGTATTAGTGCAATAGGCAGGGTTCATCAACTGCTTGCTAGAAGCCATTGGGTGGCAAGGAAGATCAAAGACTATTTCCACGATCAGCCCAATCTGATACCCAGAGATGTTATTAGTGATGCACAACATGAACATGACATCACGCTATCATACCAGCAAGCATGACGAGGAAAAGAGGCCGTATAAGAGATAAATGATGGCTCCCATGTGAAGGCATATGAGGATCTCGTCAAGTACTTGCATAAGAGCCACATCATTAACTCTAGAACTATAATGATTTTTCAGACAGATGATAAAGATAGGTATGAGCGCATGTTTATGGCCAATCGTCCATGTTTGCAAGGTTTTATATATGGTTGCAAACCATTGATGTGTATGGGACGTTTTTTTAAGGGACAATTTATAGTATTTGAGGTGCTCTCTTCATGTATATGCAATGGCATAACTATCATCTAGACTCCTCTGGTTGAGCCGGTGTGGGATAGGATGTGTATAACATGAGCTCTCCTCTAGTCAAGAACTCTCCCTTACTAGAATCGTTTTTTGCATCTCCCCATATTTGTCATTCACCTACATTTGCTCAGAGGACTCATCCGTACTCCTCTCCTCCCCTACATGCGGCTCAATTGGTCCCACCTCATCCTCAACCATTTCTTCAACTTATTGAGGACCTATTTTTGGGTAGTATAATCTCAATGTGCGTAATGCTTCCCTAATTAGGCCCAATTCTTTGAGATGTAACCATCACGTACAAGTTGTGTTGCATAGCCGATGTCCCTCGTTTGAATTGTCTTATGAAAATAGACCAGTGAGAGTTTTAAAAGACGCCTACAAATAGCTCAATATGATAATAGACAAGTGAGAGTTCTAAAATTAGTCTTATCATTTTACCTTCATCATGATAACTTTGAGGTCTGAATCTTAAGGGACGGGGTCTACATGGTAATGGATTAGGAGCCTAGTCCATGGTGTGTACTAATCGATGTATTCATGTGTCGACTTCCTATTAAACATGTCCTCTTCTACCTCACATAGATAATCTAGCCTACTCTACCATATTTCTATCTGAGCTCGAAGCTCGTCTGCCAAGTAAGTTGTCAGGACTCGTCCCATCACACTCTCTCCTCTCCCACTACAAGGGATATGTCGGTATCCCTTGGTGGAGTCCACACTGCTAGAGGAACACACGATCTAGCATGTGCCTCTCACAAAATGTGTCCGTATATGAGGATCGTGCATCACAAGGCAATATCCCGAACCTGAATGGCATACGCTTTGTCCTCTGGAGTTTCCGCTCCTAAATCAGGAAAATCATTATATGGGGTCCATATAACCTATCACAAAAAAAAAAAACAAGAAAAATCTAAAGTAAATAACCTGCAGCAAAAAGCTATTGAAATTTAAATAACAAGGTTAGTGAAAATGTTTTCTATAACATCATTTATCTGTGTATTAACGGTCTCCTGGTGACACACGAGACGAAAGTTGTGAGAGTTATCCTATTCTCTAGTAGGAGCCCACTTAAGGGATCTAGGAAACACTGTGTAGATGTATTTGGGCTTTGGGTACAATAGTTTGAAGTGCTCGTATGCCGGACACTGAAGTGCATACATATCATTCAAATATCATATAAAAAAAGTATTACAATCAAATATTTATCAAAACCTTTAAATATCTATTAAAACCTTTAAATATCTATCAAAACCTTTAAATAATAGTATTATCAACAAAAGAGTGGCTGATCCACTTGGGAGTTAGTGATCAAGATGAATAATCTTTTAACAATGATCAAAACAAATAAATTAGGGCGGCTGCACCCCATGCATACCGACCAACAGCATCGACATCCTCAAAAAGTTGCAAATTTAATGTAGATACAATACGGTATATTGAATCTGCAAAAATGGTGCAGTTAACTAGATACAAGAGGTAGGCACGGGAATGTTGTATAAGGGTGTGCCGGCTACAGTTGTGTGGCAGACTAAACTTCTTCCTCAACCATGTAAGCCGAATAATGGAATAGTTGGTACCTTCAAGGAGTTCTCCTAGCATCTGGACGATATAGCCACCATAGTTGTCCACTCTCCTAAAAGTTATAAGGGTACCTATCACCCTTATAGGAGAATTATGCATGCACCTTCAAGAGTAAGAATCATCTCTTCTACGTCTACATTAAAGTACCAGGTGTTCGTCTTTGCGCGCCACCTCTTGACAATAACATCCACTGTGCAAAGGTCCTTTTGAGTCATAGCAACTAGGGTTAGAGGATACAACCCTGATCTCGTGATCAAGTCTATTTGAACATTATTAGTTAGAGGCCATAATCTTAGTGAACTGGGCTTCTCATCAATCTTGAGGACCTTAACTCGTTCCTGAAATGGAATTTGTGATTTTAAACGCTAAAAAAAAGAAATTGATAACCAATATGATAGACAAAAAAATATGATTTTGAACATGTGTACATAGATGTCCTTCCCTGACCTTCTGTGATATGCAGTTATTTTGTCTTGTGAGAGATGTGGGAATACGATGACCTCCAAGCCAGCATACACCTTGGGCCATGGTCCTTGTTAAAAATCAATTATGAAACATTCAATTGAGCCCTACTACAATTAATGACAAAAAAATATCCCTAAAAAATCGATCATCTGTTTCCACTGGTAACAAATTACTGAAAATGTGAGAACCTAATGCTTTCATGATACTACTCGAAAATTCTACAGTATGGGAACCAAAAATGCAAAATCAGAAATAAGAAACCAAAATCTCATGATAAAATCTTTCAAGAAACCAAAAATACAAAAATCGTGAAACACATTCTTCAATAAGGTGCACTGGATTCAATTTGATCTATCATTTATGAACCAAAAACAAAATAGTAATAATAAAAAAAAAACAAAGCTACATATATTATCAAAACAAATATTCTTATCTTTGACTAATATAATCTTTTAATCCATTTGAAAATAAAACTTCTTAAATAACACATCAAATAATAGCAAACAACAGTCTCAAAAGGAACCAATCAATAATAATAATTTAAGATATGAAAATTCTCTGAGAAAGAACCAAACAAAAAGTTTTTCAAAATAAAATTTGGGAATCAAATAATAGCAAATAATTTAGGTGCTTGAGATTCAATGTTTTTAAGAAGAAAACAAAATGATGCTACAAAGACTTCTTCTAGACTTTCATCTATACAATGTGAAAACGAATCATAATCAAATCGGTAATAATAATAATAATAATAATAACAACAGAGCTCCTTACATTATCACAAATACTACAATAATGCTACAAAGATGCTAAAAAGAATTGGTAACTTATATCAACGATCATGCTCAACTGATGCTAAAAACAATTTGGGGAATAAGTTCTTACCTCAATAAAGAATGTCTGATCAGAGAATGTCCAATGAGGCAGAAGAGGGAGAGGGATCCCCAATGCGAGAGAGCGTCATATAGTAAGAATAGTTAGGGTAAAGGGAGCTCCAGTGAGAGATAGCACCAGAGAGGAAGAACGGTTAGGGTAGAGGGAGCCCTAGTGAGAAAAAGCGTCGGAGAGGAAGAACGACTATTTCAAATGGAATAAGGGATTTTATTACAAGTGAGATTTCCATGATGGTCTCACCGTATTTCAAGTGCCTTTGTATACAAATATAGTCACAGTTATATAAATATCGTTATTGTTTCCTTCATCAATGGGCATAAGAACCCTTAAAGACCATCACAGCTATTTAAGTGCCATGCCTAAAAACATTGAACCACCTATGATTATTACAGTAGTGTGTCTATCGTGTCTTCATGGATCTAAGACTACCGTATAATTTACTTTGGTAAAAAAAATGAAAACAGTGAAGAAAAGGTGTTTGGACGAGGTTTTCAAAAGTTTGAGTTTTTTTTTCAATAATCCAAAAAAAAGGTATATTTTCTATAATTACGCCCCTTTTTTTTTAACCGCTAATAAGTATATAAATATACATATATATAAAAAAAGATAGAGAACAACTCCTTAATTTCAACAAAAACCAACCTAGACTCCTAAAACACAACATAACTTTGAACTACAAAGACCTTACTCCACCAACTACTGACCTCATAAAGAAACTTCAAAAGGCCTCATCCTCTCCGACCTCATACCAACCTAGGCTTCTCACCGTCACTCCCACGAAGCACCATCCCAAACCTCACAAGCCAGGGTTGGGGTGACACAGCTTGCTCTGTCAGCGACCGGAAGAGAATCGATAACATCATGGAGACAAATCAGTAGGTGTCGACGCATAACCAGCGACGAAAAAGTAGGGTTTGTAAGATTGGACAAATGAGAATTGGGAAGGAGATGAACCAAAAGACGAGGAAAGTCAAGCCCTTCCTATCAATGCAATAGCTTTGGGGCAAGTTATGTGGTTCTACAGCAACCAAATTGCTCCTAAAGCGAATCAGCTACTAGAAAGAAAGTTGTAGCCGTTAAGATATTTGATTTTCTTTTTTAGCTCCTAAAGCTATGGAACCTAAGCAACTACTAAAAAGAAAGTTGTGAAAGACGAGTGGAAATATAGAAAACCCAAGAAGAGGTGAGGGAGAATTCGGTCCCAGTAGATAAGATGTAGACAGTCCCAGTGGGGCGTGAGGCCCTTGTTTGGATAAATCACATATGTGGATAAGTGTATTGTACTAAATTAAAGTTTTAGCCACATGTGTGTATGAGAAAATTAATTTTCTATAATATTATTTATATTATAGAATTTCAACCAACCAAATTTGAGGGCCAAAAAGTTTTTATGAGCGTGTATTGATATGGCTTATGACACATTGTGATGCACTAAAATACCATGTGATACAGTGCGTAAAATAAGCGTTTCCAAGTAAAAGTGACAATTCACTAAGAAAGAATACGGAATATGAAAATATGACTCCCCACAGTGATTTTGAAATCAATGGACAACATCAAGTTTTCATAAAATGAATGGTAATAATGCATCTAAAATTAGGGTTTTACATAAAATAAAAAGCACATGAAAAATATTGAAGGCATTTTGAGTATTACTGACAAAGGTGAACAAATGTCACCCATCTTACGATAGAGAAGTTGGCGTCTCAAATTATAGACCTAGAGCTATCAGGGGTCTTGCAAACCTGGTCCGTTTCTAGATCTACTATCGACACGAGCTATAGATTCCACCTAACAGATTTTAAAAAGTTTAAATTTTTTAATTAAAACAAAGAAATAAAAAAAATAATCAGAAGAATAAAATAATAAATAAATAAATAATAAACAAAGCAAAAAGGAAGATCACATACATGATAAATCTAAAGTTGGGAACCATATTAGGACTACGAGTTGATTCACACCTTTTGATAGCTTCTCTTACTTTTTTGGAACATAACTTTAAAGGTTTTAGATCTAGGAGAGCTTGTTCTTAGGATTTTTTTATTTCAGAGAAATTTTGAGAGGATTTAGGCTTAGGGTCTCTAAGGTTTTCTAAAGATTTTTCTTGATTTTCTAGAAGTTTTCTCTAATTTTCTAAGAGTATCCTAAGGATTTTTGTATGAATTTCCTAATTTTCTGGACTTTTCCAAAAAATTTCTTAGTTTTCAAGGTATTTCTAAGTGTTTTCCCTAATCTTCGGGGGGATTTAGGATTTTTCCTATTTTTCTAAAAACTTTTGGACGAAGTTTTTAGTGAGTTTCTAAGGGGGATCATAGGGGTTTGTATAGATTGGGGTTCAAAGGATTTTTATGAGGAATATTCCCCAAATTTCTAAGGATTTACATGTCAAAACTTGTCCAAGAACTGGCTTAGGTCACCCTAGAAAGGTTTCAAAAAAATTTGGAATTTTTCGGGGTAAAATTTGCCTGAAAATCTATGTGAGTTGCGGTGACTCGTACATGGACCAAACTATTGTTTTTCTGAACAGTTTCATTCAGACCATAACTTTCTAACGGTAAATCAGATTCATGTGATTCTTAGATCGTTGGAAAGCTTGTGACCTCCTCTATACTTTTGAAACAAAGTTTTGTCGAACTTGAGTTACGTTTGAGGGGTATACAAGGTTAGGACTTCAGAATATCGATTTCATATTTTTGGGTATCGAATCAGTGTTTAGGTCAGTTTTCGAGGTTCATAAGGCTCAAGGGTGTCTAAGATGATTGGGTGAATCTGGAACAAAATTTAGGGGTCAAATTTATCCACTTCGACTCAAAACGCATTTTAATCTCATTAAGAATGCCCCACTCCACCTTGTCATTATACCTTTTCCATATCTAGTTTTAATAGCAAATCCAGACTCCTAAGATAATATTCTAGAGTTGATACATTCCAGAGCTATTAGAACACTATCTGTAATGAGACTATTTCAAATAAAAGCTAATTGTGGCCTAGATATAAGCAAAGGCAAGCACTTCTTCAGCCGCTCAGCTAACACTTTGGCAATGATCTTGTTAAGGCTATTCAACAAAGTAATGAGTTTAAGATCATTAAGACCTGCAATGACATCCTTCTTTGGTATTAAGACAATGAATGTTGATTTTATAGTTTTACTAACGTGGCCATTATCCATAAATTCCTCCATCATATCCCATAAATCATTCTTTAATAGTCCCCAAAAGTTATGAAAAAATATGAGAAGGAAGTCATTAGGCCCTGGAGACTTGTCTCTAGACAGATTGAAAACTGCTACTTTCAATTCATCCATTGAAATGGGTCTCTCAAGCTCTCTTACATCATGTTCATTCAAAGTCTAAAAAGGTACCCTCCTTTTGCAAACACCAAAGGAATTTTCACAAGAAAAATATTATTGATAATGCTGGACTATCTTATTTTCCCACCCAACCACATCATCTTTGTTAACATCATCAAAGTGGATATTTGAAATATCATTCTATCTTCTCTTACCATTCGCAATCACATGAAAGAAACCGGTATTATTATTTATGCAAATAATTATTAAGCTCGTTCTTCTCCACCAATAACTCTTCTGTAAGAACGCCATTAATTTGAATTTGCTGCTCAATTTGAGTAATACTTTGAATGGTTCCTCAATTTTATTTTTCAGATAAAATCTAGTATTTTCTACCATTCAATCAGCTTATATTTCACATTAAGTAATTTTATGTGCATTTTACATCCACACATGTCAATCACCATAATATTCTCCAAAATCTGTTTAATGAGATTTCCTCACATCGGTCTCATTGAGCCATACAATATCCATCCTAAAGGTCTCGACCCTAGAAACACATTGGACATGTTTAACCAGAAAGGGTGATTGTTAGAGGACAACTTTAAAAGTGAATTACATTTACCAAAGGAAATTTTCTTTCCCATTGTACAGACACCAAGAATCTATCCAACTTACTCACTACCAAGTAAAGCAAACCATTATTAAACCATGTGAAGTGACTCTCATTCACAGGCAAATCCATCATATCATTGTGAAGTTATTTAAAAATCTCATATGAGTCATATGGGATGTTAGAAGATGTCTCATTAGGCCTCCTTATGAGATTGAAATCCCTCCCCAGACAAGCAGGCAAATCAAAATTAGCAATAACATAATTCAAATCTTTTAAAAACTCTTCTTTGAGAGTGCCCACATTAGGCCATACACATTAAAAAGCCACCATCTAAATTTTGAAATAGGCCCCTAAAAACCAATCCTCAAAGCCTTATCTTTTTTAACAATTTCAACACTATTTAGAACATAAGGGTCAAAATGTCCACAAACCCCCCTGAAGCACCATTGAAATCCAACCCACAAAATTGAACATAATTTAATCGCCATAAACCCCTTAAATCACGAAGAGAAGGACTAGGCATTTTAGTTTTTGCAATATTACAACGTCATAACTAAATTTGGAAGCCAAAAAATGAACCTCATTTTTTCTTCATTGCTCGTCTGGTCCTCTCGCATTCCAACTAAGGATCTTCATGGGAAAGTTGAGGAAAATGCTCACAAAGCAGTGTCTTCCACACTAGTCGACGAGTCTCAAGGTGCAGTAGATGACACCGAAGGCTCTTCAGAAATTTCATTTCGTTGTCATTGTTGATGATGATCACACCACCATTATTCTGAGTACTACTGGTAGCAAACCTTCGAGCAGTGAGCCGGGCAGAAGACTGAGTGGGCTTGGAAATGAGTTTAGCTTCCCCTTTGTTTTCAACTTCATTGTGCATACTTATTTACACATTCTTTTTTGCCTTCTCCTCCATCTTACCTTTCTGGATGATCTGTTTTATGGCCTGGTCCACAACATCCAAAGGGGTAAGAAAGGAAACCCCCATATCATCCAACATTTTGCTAGTTGATTCCTGGCTACATTCGATATCATTGTCCGCACTATCCTCTTGATTCCCAGACTCTAGTGATCAGTTTGCTCCATCATAGATTCAGTAGGCAAAAAATTCAGAGGAACATTCATAGCTTCTTCATTACAATTTTCCATCTCATAGTTGTGCTCCAGAGAAACGAGATTAGGCCCACTCACCAACAATCTCAGAAGCAGGCTGTGGGTCTGAAACCACCACTTATCTCTTCTAAATTTTCAGGCAACTTCCTAACAGTTGTTCCGCCATTTTTGGCATTTTTCATAGCCATTCTAAACAGTAGATAACACCTTTGCACCATTGCTTGCTGCAATGAATTCCAAGAAACAGCAAATGAAATCACAATCTGTAAAAACAAAGTGACTTACAAAGATTTCAATGAGCGTCCAGATTTTTCTCTTCTCCAAGAAACTGCCTTCACATCAAAGGTAACTTTCTATATTTGCAGGGAGCCACCTGCACATTTCATTAAGACAAGTGGTTTAAAAAACGGATCGGTGCCCCTGAACCCCAAAAACCCATTTGGACCGGTGAATCGACATTTCAGATCGGGAATGGGGGGAAATCAACAATTTTGTCTCAAAAAATCTTTAAAAAATCACTAAAAATCTTTAAAAATAGCATTATTTTAATTTCTACAAGAATTTAGGAGTGGTGCATTACATATTTTCATTACTTTGTAAAAATAGGTGATTACTGAGACATTGTTTTTCTATTTGGATATCTGTATAATTAAAATAAATAAATAAATAAATAAAATATAAGACTTGGTTATCATGTAATTAGTATAATTATTAATTACATTATTATAATAAACGTGATTCAAAAAACAAATGTATGACCCTCACAAATAAATAAATCTAATCTAATAATTAGTGTGGATAGGAATATAGAATTTAGAAATATAAATTTACAATAATATTTTAATAAAATTAAAAAAAATAAAACAAATTTATACTTGCAATGTGAGGTAACTAGTTACAAACACTTCCATACTATAAGATTAAAAAAATTAATTTCCTACAATTAGTATCACATCAAAGTATCAAAAATATATATTAATTCGTTTTACTCATCCAAATTTATTACCATCTAACTAACTATAATAATATATATTGAAATTGAAGTTGTTGGTTTATAACTTTATATTTTATAATTATTTTATTATACAAATAAAAATACAAAAAGGCTTATAATATCATCTAATTTAAAAAATCTTATTTACAGTTA